TTGTTTGTTGAGTTTTACATAGAGCAAGAAAATCCGAAATGATTTCTGCCACCAGGTTACCACTATCTGATCATACATCAAGACATCATCGTGCAATTCTATCTTTTGTGAATGCGTAGCTGTGCACTTTTGCTTTAGGGGTTAATGTATTGATGGCACTTTTCCCTCCATATTTTGATATTTATGCATCCTCTCTCCACTTAAATTATGATTCACATGTAGAAATGTGTGGAGATTTAATGTGCACCAATATGTTATACTGCTTTAGTTTTATATGCAAAACTTGGTTTATAGCATGTTTGACCTAGTTTTTGAAAAATTACCAGTGCTTATTTTTCAGTTGTACTTATTTTGGAGAATTGAAGTGTTTGGCCAATTTCTCAAAAAAAAAAAATGGTTCGTAGTAGTACAAAGGAAGTATAAACTTGTATGTAGCTTCTCATTGGAAGCAGAAGTACGAAATTAATATTTCAAGACGAAAATATGCTTATCAAAAACTGAATTTTACCAAACTATCCTTAATTTTTAGATGCAGTGGTATGCGGGAAGCATGAATGGTTCTTGACTATTCCACCGGATACCTGTTACCTTCCACCACTAATATAAGTACTGTGTAACTCTTCCCACCATGGATTATGTAGATGGAAAAAAATCACGTAAAGTTGTTCCCCCTTCACAATTTTCCAATGGAACACCTCTAGTTGGTCAGAATACACAACACCTATAACCCTATGTGTTTCTCACTTGCCCTGGTATGGATAACACATCATAGCCATGACCTATAAAATCATGGCACATCATCATCTTCATCAACCTAAAACCGAAATATAACCTTGTGAGGTAGTCTTCGTCGATTGAAGCAGTGCCCTCGACCCCACTGGTATCAACTTCTCCACTGTCATTGCCCAACACCTTCTTACACTCCTGTATCAAAACACCATTTTCACCAACATAAGTACGAAAATAATACAAATGAAATTGTTTTTAACAAGTAAAGAAAACATAAGATACATCCCTTCATGACCCAATAAAATTAGAACATAACAGAGCAAAAACATGTGACGCAATTCTCGATTGCATTTTGGTAGGAAGCCCATTTTTGTCTAAATTTGATCTTTTCACCATTGTGATTGTTAACTTGACCTAGTTTTGTCAGCAAAAATGTTGAGGCCGCTACCCCAGAGTACCAATTGTTAGTCACACTTAATTCTCCAAGGAAAGTCGTGGGCCTCGAGATGGAGCTTTAGGAGAGACCTCCAACGTTGCAATTCTTTACTGGTGCCTTCTCAACCAAACCAAATGGGTGAAGTAGAGTCTGTGTGTGATGAATATCTGGAGTTGGATCTGACTGTGGTTTTCTTTAGATTTGTTTACGGAGCTTTTGTACTGCTATTGAGTTTTTCGGCTACAGACATGGGTGTGTATTTGTGTGTTTCTTGTGAAGAAGCTGGTGAAGGAGTGAGATTGTGTGGGAGTAAATAGTGTTTCAATTGTGGTGTGAGTTACTAGATGGGAGGTTAAAAAGTGGGATTCCTGGGATTTTATGCAAGCTGGACGTAGAGAATGCTTTTGAAAAAGTTAACTGGTCTTAATTTACTAGCAATGCTGAAAGATATGCGGTTTGGTGACAAATGGATCAAATGGATTAAATTCAGTCTCACCACAATGAAATATTCATCTTAATGAATAGGACTCCAGTTGGGTTTTTCTCTCCATAAAGGGATAAGACAATGAGATCCACCCTCTCCTTTTCTTTTCATCTTAGCCATGGAAGGATTGAGTAAGATGTTGAACAAAGCCAAGCAAATGCAATGGATTGAAGAGTTTAGGGTGGGCAGCAGTGTAGCCAACCCAGTCACATTTGCTTTACGTTGATGACACATTAATTTAGGGTGGGAAGCAGTGTAGCCAACCCATTCACAAATTTTGAAGCAGAATGCCGATAAAACACAAAGTGATCGGCTTTAGTACGATTCATGCCAAACTCCTGAACAACTGTGCTAAACTAACAACCAGGCTCGAGGAGACTGTTTTAGACCATAGAGTGATCGACAAAATCGACATACAAGACCACTAGACTCCCCCTAAGCAATGAAACCAGGTGGTTAATCCGTGTAAACTTTATTCTCGAGACATTCTTAATGTCCAACTGATAGAGAGGCCCAGAGCTAACATCAACCATGGATAGAAAGAGACGAACTGATGCTATTGTAGCCACGGGAGAGGAAGTATTACCGTAATTAAGCCCAAATATCTGAGTATACCCTTTGTCAACAAGCCGGGGCTTAAGCTAATCAATCTTGCTATCCAGACCAACTTTGATTGCATAAACCCAATGACAACCAACGATAGATTTACTAGAAGGAAGAGGAACAAGTTCCCAAGTACCACTCGCATGTAAAGAAGACATCTCGTCAATCATAGTCTGTCGTCATCCTAGATGAGCTTCACCTATAGACTTAGGAGTGGAAACAGAGGGCAGAAGAGACAAAAACTTAATGGGGTGATGACAGGCGATGATAACTTAAACCGACATAATGTGGATTAGGATTAATGTGGACCATATACTTTCCGAAGTACAATGAGTGGACTAGGAGGAGACAAGTCCGCGGTAGAAGCAGGGTCAGGTGCATGGTGTGAATCAGCTGGGCCTGATGCTGGATGCGGACGACGATAATAAGTTAAGAGTGGTCTTCCAGTGGTTGGGGATCTAGGAAGAGCAACACTAGATCACTGTAAGACTAGGCGCTGCATCAAAGTGAAGTAATTGAGAGAATAATTCATCAACTGTAGGGACAATTGGATTAGCCAAAGTCTGGTCGCGTATTGGATCAAGTTTGTTAGCAAGTCCAGCGAGTGTAAGAACTAGAAACATCTTCTGTCATTGCTCTTGTAGCTTTCCAACACTAGTAGAAACTGGCATCAACTTTTCAAATACCTCTATGACTGTTTGTACTTGTCTCTAGTAAGTAGAAGTATCCAATTCCTGTTTCTTCAAATTTCTCACCCGTGATATCACATCATAAACATGCGATATGTCATTAGTGTATAAGATGCGACCCTTTTTCCAAACTAATTGACATGTCTGTAATGGACGAAACAAGAGCATCAATTTGGAATCAATAGATCACCACAAGATATTACACAACTAAGCATCGATCTTCTCCCAAAGTGCTTTGGCTTTTTCATATCCCTCACTAGTCTTTTTAGTTAAGTGATCTTGAAATCCTTGATCCTTGCACCACAACTCAATCGAGGAATCCCAAGCTAAATACTTTGAACTTCCCATTAAGGATTTCGAAGATCTGTGTTTATGGAACCAAACAATATCCAACCCTAGAGACATGATAAGATTGAAGAGAGTTCTAGCAAAATATCACCAAAAACAGAAAAAGAATCAAGGATAGTTAGTGTAGCTCGCTGGAAAAAGAAAATAACTGCCAGAATCTGTAAACAAAACAACATACCCAGTAAAATTCCGTTATTGGGGTCTGGGGAAGGTAGAGTGTACGCAGACCTTACCCCTACCTCGGAAGGGTAGAGAGGCTGTTTTCGGGAGACCCTTGGCTCAACAGAAGAGATAATAATATCGGAAAAGAAATAAAAGAAAAGGTCTGTAACAACAAAAGAGGCCACAAAAGTAATAACAACATCGTAAGAGAACAAATAAGTGATAGGTCAATAGCATAATACTACGCAAAGCAACAAAATAGTGTGAACACTCCATAGATCGCTAACAGACCTAGACAAGACTCTATCAGACTACCCGGTACAAAGAGGGAAAAACGCTCGACTATCCCCTAGCCTACAACCCTAATTCGACCTTCATACGTTCCTATCAAGAGCCATGTCCTTGGAAATCTGAAGCCGCGCCGTGTCCTGCCTGATCACCTCGCTCCAATACTTCTTAGGCTGCCCTTTACCTCTTCTCGTACCTGCCAAAGCCAACCGCTCGCACCTCCTAACCGAGGCATCTATGGTTCTCCTCCGCACGTGGCCGAACCATCTAAGCCTCGCTTCCCGTATCTTGTCGTCCACGGGAGCAACACCCATCCTCTCCCAAATATCTTCATTCCTTATC